CGCCACCAAGCCCGGGTCACCAGACTGTCCCTGCCTCCCCCTGTGCTGCAGGGCCACCTCTCCTCTCTTGCTTTTTCACGCTAGTTTGTGAGGTACGTTTGTATTTGTGTCTTAGCACAGTGGGTGACTACGATCATTCCCTCCCCTTGTCACAGGAGGGGACACCCAGCTGAAATTCAGTGAGCTGCTCCAAGTCACATCGATGGAGGGGTGCCTCTTACCTCCCAGGATCACACGTTCGGATTCAAAAGTAGCTGTTGCTTTTACTCCGGCCGAGTCCAGAAGTGCTGGCTCCTCCACACGCTGCATTATTTGCTTTCGGCAATGCATTGATTCCATAAACATTTACTCACGTTTACTGCACGCCAGCTCCTCTGAGGAGCCCCAGGAACGCAGTGTTGAACAAGACAAAAATGTCTGTTCCTTGAAATTTAAAGTTCAGTGGTGGAGGCAGACCATCGCAAGGAAACAAATAAATGAACAAGATAATTTGAGGTCGTGCTATAAACAGAATAAAATAGCATGTGTCAAAGTGTGGAGGGAGGCTGTTTTAGATCAGGTGGTCAGTGCTTGACTAACCTATTACTTTGAAGAAACGGCATTTGCCATGAGTATTGAATTAGGAGACAGAGGGAGAGGGGCACAGTCTAGGGGGAAGCCTTGAAACTGAATGGTCAAATGTCCCAGGAAGAGAAACACAACACAGACATTTTTTAAAATTTATTATTATTATTATTATTATTTTTTAGTAATCTCTACACCCAACATGGGGCTTGAACTCACGACCCTGAGATCAAGAATCACATGCTCTTTTGACTGAGGCAGCCGGCCGCCCCAGGACAGACATCTGAGTGCGTATTTCATCTGTAAAATGGGCATGGAAGATTAGTATGGGTTGTAAATATAATATGTATAAAGTACAATGCCAGCTACAGGGTAGTATCTGAGCTGGGTGACTGGATGGGGGGATTTAATGGGTAGAAGGTGGTTTACTTATTTAATAGTTTAATAGCTTGGGGTCACCTGGGTGGCTCAGTCGGTTGAGCATCTGCCTTGGGCTCAGGTCATGATCTCAGGGTCCTGGGATCGAGTCCCAGGTTGGGCTCCCTATTCGGCAGGGAGTCTGCTCTCTGCCCTCTTGTGCTTACTTGTGTGCTCTCTCTCTCTCAAATAAGTCAGTATCTATTAAAAAAAAAAAAAAGAAAAATTTAATGGCTTATAATATGATTAAGAAAGAGTGAAAACAAATGAATTAAACATTCAGTTCCTGTGGTTAGAAAAAGGACATGAAAATAACCCAAGGAAATCAAAGGAAGGGATTATGTAAAGAAAAAGAACATACGTGAAAGGACTGGAAAATTTACAAAACAGAACTAACAAAAGACGGGAAAAGTCTGGGCAGGTACAAGTTGTGAAACACTAGGAAACCTGAAAGTGTAGAGCAAAGGCGTCTATTCCCCAAAGCTGGGGACATGTGAGCTTTTAGCTGCAAAAGAGCCCTAAAAGAAAATCCTGGGGGAATTTGCCTTAGAAAAAAAAAAGCATTTAGACAAAAGAGCTGAGGAATCATCCTGTCATTGGGGAGGAAAAGCTGAGTGTTGTGGTCACATCAACAGGCCCCGCAAAGCTGCCAACTAACTGCAGCTTTGCTAAAGTTTGTTGATTACAAATGAGTAAGTAACTGCCACACTATGGGAATCTCCTGGCAGCTGGACCTGGCACAGTCATTTCGCCATACATAGGCATCTGGGGGACCAGTTCCCTTGCTCCAGTGGCAAAGATACGGAGCTCATTATTGCTACATCAGAAGCTGTAAGTCGAGAAGAGATTTAAGAAGGGCTTGTATGATGGGGTGCCCGGGTGGCTCAGTCGTTAAGCGTCTGCCTTCGGCTCGGGTCATGATCCCGGGGTCCTGGGATCGAGCCCCACATCAGGCTCCCTGCTCGGCGGGAAGCCTGCTTCTCCCTCTCCCACTCCCCCTGCTCGTGTTCCCTCTCTCGCTGTGTCTCTCTGTCAAATAAATAAATAAAATAAAAAGAAGAAGAAGAAGAAGAAGAAGAAGGGCTTGTATGCTGGGGCTTGCCCTCTAGGAATCCTGCTGAAGCCAGGGCCTGAAGAAGCCCTAGATAGACCAGTGTGGAGAGAGACTGCCTGGCCCTGTCACTCCAGCTGGTCCAGCCGAGCTGCTCCCTGTGGTCGCATGAGTGAACCCAGGGGTAGGTGGATTCGAGAGTGGACAGAAATTTTTCCCCTCAGCTACGAGAACAGATTTGTCATTAAGTGAGCTTGGGAAGACTGTAAGGGAAACTGGTCTGAGGGGAGAATATCAGAATTGCTTTGGGATAAGTTAAATTGGAGATGCCTTTCTAGTACTTACATAGCTTTGTTTCTTTAAAAAAGAAAATAAAAATAAATTTTTATTTCTCTAAAAAATCCAGTGGGAGTTGATAAGGAAGCGGTTAGAGGTACACATTTTGAGGGCGTCGTGCAGGCCCAGGCTGGAGATATAGAATTTGGAAGTCCTCAGTTAAATTCTCCAGATAGTATGAACTTACTAAGGGAGTGAGTTTAGATGAGAGAAGAGGTCTGAAATCCGAGTTCTGGGGCGCCCCACCATTTGGAGGCTGAGGAGGAAACACTGAAGGAGCTTGAGGAGAAGAGGGGTCAGCCAAATGTGTTTCACAGAGACAGTGCTTACAGTAGTCCAATTCCGCTGATACTCAGTTGCTGGTTAGACTGAGAACGGACTGAAAATGATTTCTAATTGTACAAAAACAAAACCCCTATGAAATAGAGTATTTTTTTAATTTACAGTGTATAGCTGAAAAAATCTGGAAATGGTTTTGTTCCAAATCCCTTAGCTATTCAGCACCAGAATTAGTGATTTCCAGAAGTGCTAGATGAAGCTTACAAAATGCTTTCTCTGCGAGGAAACGCCTGGGAGTAGAATTCAAATTACCCAGAACAAGGACATGGGGGTGGGGGAGAAAGAGAAGGCCCCCACTAAAGTGGGGGTACAGACCGGAGGAGTCACAAGTCAGAAAACACAAGGCCGTATTTTTTTTAACACTTGGCAAAAGCAACAAAGAAGGAGCCTTAGAGTTAAGACAATTTTATTATAATGCTCAGTTGGAAGATTAAATAACCAAGAATATTTGGGAAAGCCCTGAGAAGGAAGAAAATGAAGAGAGGCTAGCCCTACCAGTTAGTAAAACATCATAAGGCCTGGATAATAAGATTAAGGTATTGGGACCTGAATGCATAGATCAATAAAATAAAGTAGAAAAATCCAGAAACAGGGGCGCCTGGGTGGCTCAGTCGGTTAAGCATCTGCCTTCGGCTCAGGTCATGATCCCAGGGTCCTGGGATCAAGCCCCACCTCGGGCTCCCTGCTCAGCGGGGAGCCTGCTTCTCCCTCTCTCTCTGCCTGCCGCTCTGCCTACTTGTGTTCTCTCTCTCTGTCAAATACATAAATAAAATCTTAAAAAAAAAGGAAAATCCAAAAACAATTGCATCTGGAAATTTAATATGTGATAAGGGTGGCATCTCAAATCAATGGAGGAAAAAGGCGCTCTTCATAAATAGTATGGGGGTAAGTGGATAGCCAGACAATTATATCTGTTTTTCCACACAAGATGAATTCCAAATGGGTCAAAGATTTAAAAAATTTTTTTAAAGAAATAAATCTACGTGAGTACTAGAAGGAAATGAGAGTGGATTCTTCAGTAATGGAGGAATTGGAGAAACTCCGAAACTCAAAATTCAGGAGCAATTAAGGAAAAGACTGAAATTTGCATTATCCAAAACAACAGCAACAATAAAATTTTTTGCACAGCAAAAAACATCATAAGCAAAACAAAAAGACAAGTTAAAAACTGGGAAAAAATATTTCCAACTTACAGAAGATTCATGTCCAATGGTTGTGTCCTGGAGGGCAAGGAGGACTTCCTGATTCATAGGATTTGCCAATTACCATGGTGTAAATATTCCCACCATAACGGATTTTAAATTCCCAAAATGCACTCAACCGTACTGATATGGCATCAACTGGGTCATAGAATTCCTGACGATTTAACAATCAGCACTTGTAAGCTGCCACTAGCCACCTCCAGCCCATCACTCTAAATATCCCTAATATATGAAGGGCTTAAAAAGTTGGAGAAGAAAAGGAAAACCATCCCCTTCTGGGAAACAGGCAAGAGATATAAACACACATTCACAAAAAAAAATAAATGAAAATATAGGACCTTTAAATATATGAAAAAATGTATAATCATACTTGTAACAAAAGAAATGCAAATTAAAACTACAGTGAGATACTATTTCTCAACTATCAGATTGGCAAAAATCTAAAAGGTTGACAGCAAAATGTGTTGACAAAGTAGTCAGGAAACTAACACTTTTATTTTTTGCTGGTGGAAATGCAAAACTGGGTACAATCCAAGGGGAGAGAAATTTGG